GCTAACATTTGGCTTAATGTATGTATTCGTTTTACCTTCCTTTTATGTATAGCAAATTTGTGTGAGGTAATTCTGTTGGACTGCAATTGCTTTATTTTTCTATCCTGTTTGAACAAAAATGGCCATAACTTTGCTTTGATGATTCGTAGATACTACAGGAGGTTTTCTTTTTATGCTCACAAGTTTCTGGTATTATTATTTGCCAAGTTTTTGGACACTCATGCTATCATTTTTCAACTTAATCTCTTGAAGCTAGCCTTATGAAAAGATGAAAGACTGGGATCACTTATCATTATTTCTTCCTTCTCTCTCTCTCTCTCTCTCTCTCTCTCTCTCTCTCTCTCTCTCTCTCTCGTCTTTCTTCTCTCTCTCTCTCTCTCTCTCTCTCTCTCTCTCTCTCTCTCTCTCTCTCGTTATTCAATTATATACTTCAACACCATTATTAATGTCATCAGTAATAGAGATGTCCTAGAGCTGCAGAAACTATATGGAAACTGCATGCATTTGTTTTTTTATGTTGCAAGATTCTTGTGAAATATCTTTTGTCCAGATGGTTTCAGATTCTTCAGGTGTAGGTATTATAAAGCAGTTGACAATTTTTTTTTTTAATTTTTTTGGAAGGTATTGTTCAAGTATCAGATAAGTAATCAAAGTTGCTCGATCAGGAAAATGTTTTGAGTTTTGACCCTTATTTTGGATATAATTCTTCTTTCTCTTGTTTATTTTTCACCTCCTATTAACAGGTCGCTATAGATGTTTTTCATTATGAAACATTTTGCTTTTAAGAGTAGTGTTTCTAACATGATTTTCTTTCTTTGTTATACCGATAAACAGTTTGCGGTTCTATTATGACACACTAATGCAGATTAACTAAACTTAACCACCCTTTGGCTTTCAGATTTTATCGGAAACCCCCCTGAATCAAGAGTTTTCTGATAAAATATCAAAGTTAAAGGGGTTTTCTGATAACCCCTAAACTTAAGGTTTTTTTTTTTTTTTGATATTTGGAAAGTTAAGGGGTGGTTTGTTATGATATTTAGCCATGGTCGAAATAAACTTTGACCTATAGTCTGAATCTGAGCTCACATTTCTATTCGTATCTGATAGCCTCGATGTCTTTATTTCTTAAATATACAATATAAAAAGATAGAAAAGGAATTTGACTCTTGGACTCTTAGGTAGGAAACAAATATGAACAAGCCGGGGGAGAACAAATGCGTGTTCCGTGCGGTTCTTCTCCATCTAAAAAATGTGCGTAAACTTGAAAGCACATGATTTGGTCGGCAGATTTGTTTAACAGCTTTACCTTTAAATACCATCTCCTTGAAAGATGAACAAGCCGGGGGAGAACAAGAGAGGAAACTAGACCAACAAAAAATGTCGATTTTTTCGAGCTTTATATTGTCACCACCTTCATCGATCTTCATCTCTTGCATGTCGGTGATCAATATCGTCGGTTTGAGCTTTTTCGGGATATCTGAGCTATTTGGGCAACACCTCGGTTACTCGAAGTTTTGGAACGTTAGTATAAAGAAGAAGAAGAATGAGTTTACGCTGTCGAGCAGAACAGGGATGTTGATTCTCTATGCGCCTGCAGCAGTTGCAGCCGCTGCCTCGTTCTTTTTGCCTGGTGCGGTGGTCGGTCTCAGAGCTCAGCTGGTTAGTTTGGCGCTCGCCATTCATTTCTTCAAGAGAGTCTTTGAGGTAACTATGTTTGGTTTTATTTTTTTAGCTCCTAGAATAAAAAAATATATTGTGTAAATTATATAAGTTATCCATATTTTTCTCAGTTTTTCTTCTTTATAAGTACAAATTTTTGGTAAAAACCTCACCAGTACTAGTTTAGTAGAAAATTTTTTGGTAAAAAAAAATTTCTAAGGAGAAATTCATGACCGAATGTTATTGTTTAAAACAGAAATCTCCCTATGAAAACACAGTTTAAAAAAAAAAAAACTAATTCATTTAAGGTAGCTTTCATCAAGTAACACCTTTTAACACATTTCTCACTTTCTCTATTTGCAGAAAAATTAACAATCTAGCTTCACAAACACTCAAATTAATCCAAATTTTTTTAGTAAACAAACCCAACACTTGTACTTCTAAATATGTCGACGCTTGACCAAATACATTTTAGCTTTCTCATATCCTGTGACACACATGCGAGGAAATTTCAAATTGTTTGTTTGGTATACTCTAGCTTATAACTTGTAATTGATGTTGCAAGTTAGAGCCAAAAAAAAAAAAATCTATCCTCATGACCAACAATTGTATGCTTGACTTATATCCCTGATATTATTTCGATATTTCAGGTATTGTTCATTCACAAATACAGCGGCCGGATGCAACTGTTATCGACCATCATCATATCCTCCAGCTACACGATCAACACAATTAACATAATCTACACGCAACATCTCTCTCAATCTCAATCCATACGCGAACCCGCTATCGACTTAAAATACCCAGGCATTCTTCTCTCCATCATTGGCATCCTCGGCAACTTCTATCATCACCTCCTTCTTGCAAATCTCCGAGGAAAGGATGAAAAGGGCTATAAAATACCAAGCGGAGGTTTGTTTGGACTAGTGATCTGCCCGCATTATCTCTTTGAGATCATTGTTTTCTTCGGGTTGTCTCTCATTGCACAAACAGCGTACGCGTTTTGCTTTACAGCGGGGACGGTGGTGTATTTGATGGGGAGGAGTTTGGCGACGAGGAGGTGGTATGTTTCTAAGTTTGAGGATCAGTTTCCTAGAGAGATCAAGGCTTTAGTGCCCTTTGTTTTCTAAGATACCTTGGTCAAAGGTTTAATGTTGTATGCATAGTATGCTTTTTTTTTGTGTGACTATTATAGTGTTGTTGAGTGTGTTTTCTTATAAGGAACAAATGTTGAAGGTTAAGACTTATCAGAAGTTGTTATACCCTAAAAATCACAAGTTTTATAAACCCTTGAAACTGGCCACGTGTCAGTCAAGCGGATCATGTCGTATAACAGGAGACCCAACCCAGTATAGGTACAATCCGACTGGACTGGCGACCCCTCCAACAATCCCAGTCCGAGTCGGGAGGCGTCTTCAGGTCGAACCTACCGAAA